TCAAAATGAACTAGCAACTTCGACACATTCTGTAGCCTCTTCTTCAACAATTTCTAAGGGCAGTTGGGCTATAGACTCAGGAGCTTTTGGTCATTGGAGCTTTTGGTCATTTGACTGAATACTTTGGTAAGCTTACTACCATTGTTCCATATAGGGCATTCTTGTATTGTTATGGGAGATGGATTTGCATTACTAATCACTCATATTGTTAAAGCTTTGATTTCATCCTCAATGGGATCCATAGCTGCTCCTGATGTTTTTTTTCTTGTTCCAATTTTCAAAAGGAACATCTTATTAGTGTCTCAATCTGTTAATCAATTTCAATGTGCCTCCATTTTTACTCCTGATATTATTTTTGGTGAAGGATCTATCGGGGAAAATCGCTCGAGAGAGTGAAGAAGTTCAAACTCTTTTTGCTGCAGCTCTTTCTACAAGGAGAGGCATCATAGGTTGGATTTGCAAGAAATAAGATTAGATCATTTGAACGAGTGCATTGTAAGCCATGTTTAAAACTTATGGGAAGTACTTATTTTTAAGGAATAAGCTAAGGACTTACTAGTTCGTAAGGAACCAGATTGTTAAGTTATGTTTAATTTAACAAGTTTCATCAATTAACTTATATTAATCTTCAATATAAAACTTATATCAAAATACAAGAAGTAGACGTACTCGCAACTTTGATTACTTTGATTACTTTGATTCAGGTGCACTTAACTCTTGACTTCAGTTAGAGTTTAAACTGCAATAGCAGCCCCTATTCCCCCTTTCCCCAATTCTCCCCTCTGTTCAAAAAATATATATATACACAAGAAGTAGACGTAACCTGATAAATAATTCAAATTCTCTAAATTAAAACTATCCAATTTAGGACAAATAAGTTCAATCCAAGCAAATCCAAAGCAGTTACTGCAGATGCAGCAAAGTGTCAGCATCAATTTATTATTATTATTATTTTATATATGTGTTTGGCAGAACTGCTGCGAAGTCCTTCCTAGTTGTAAAATCATAATACGTGCCAAACACTCATTTTATGAGCGCAAGGTCCAGCGCATTGGATTGAACTTTTGACAAGTTAAAAACGGTGAAGCAAAGAATTTATGCCTCTCGGTGAGAATCTCCACGTCCTTTAATGAAAATTGCCATCTTTTTATTTTGTCATCATTTCTTTGTATATTTACAACTAAAACTCTTATATATATATATATATATGTATATAAAAGGAAAAAAGTGTATATTAATTCTTATTTTTAAAATAAATTAGTGTAATAAATTTTGTTTTATTTAATTAAAATTTAATTTAAAATTTAAAATTTTATTTTATAAAATATTAATATTTAATTTAAAATTTAATTATATTAAAATATATAATTAATTTTTAAATTTATATAAACATTAATATTTAATATGATAAATTTTTAAATTATAAATTAATATTTTAATTTTTAAAAATAAAATAAAATTTAATATTTTTTAAATCAAAACTAATATACATTAATTATATATACATGCGCGAATATTTTTAAAATTAAATTGGTACGGTAGTCAAGCCGTCTTATTGACTTGGGTTACTGATTTGAGCAGTTTAATTATTGTAAAGCTGTAAGTTTGATCAAAATGTTATATAAATATATTATTATACATAACCTTTGATTGAACGGTTGGTTCCGATTCAGTAGCATTGAACCATGGATTAGGGTTGTTTATTTTCAATGGGTTGTACGTTCAAACCCCACAGAATCCCTTTCTTCTTTCTCTCAATTAACCCCGTAAATAATTATAAATTGTTAAAAAAAAATACATAACCCTTTATCGGAGGGTGCTAGCTATAGTGGTAGGAGCCGGACTTATCTTTCAACAGATCAAGGTTAGAAATTCCTGGAATTAACATTAATATATGGCATTAATTATGATATTTTAAATT